GAAGTTACCATCTGATCTCACACTTTTGATGTGCATTTTGGAGAGGGAAAGGGGTAGAGAACAAATTGAGTCCTTATTAGATGGAAAGGATAAGGAAAGTTTAATGGAACACAGGCTTGTTGGCATTGCTTGTGGGATTTTTTTTTTTCCTTGACAGGGGTGGGAGAAACCTATTATGCCTTTCCTGGATGAGACAAGCTGGGAAACAGGCCCCTAAGCTTTTCTTCCCTACAAAAGAAAAAAAAAAAAGGCATATAAGGTTACAGCCAACTTAAGCTGCATTTCTGCTGCAAAGTAATAATCTTTAATTCACACTTAAAATTTCTTCAAGAGAGTCTTCACCAGGACTAGCTGGTAGAATAACAATTGTGCTTGCCATTAGAGAGTATGCTTTTCAACTTCTACTTTCAAATTCACCTGGGTTAACAACTCTCTGGTAATTAAGTCTGGCAGCTCATAATTGAAGTGCTAGAAGACAAAACATTGCAGCTACTCAAAACTCTCAGACTATTTTAGTGTAAGATACTTGACAAAGGAACTATACTAGAAAATTCAGTAGGTTACAGATTTAATTTTTTTTAAATAATAAGATCTATTGGTAAGAATTTTAATGTAAATCCACCTATAGATTTGCTTTTGACTGAGCAAAAAAGCTTCATGCTGAAGCATTTCCATCCCTACCTATGGAAGTAGTTGTGGCAGCACAAACACTTCCATGCCAATACAAATGTGTACAGATCCTCCACAGTGCACTGCTTCAGCTGCACTCCAATTGAGTTAAGTGTTAAAATTTTCTAGGCTTAATGACAACAATATTTTACTTCATGGTAGCTGATCCATCATAGCTGTCGGTGTGTATGCTCTTAGCCTGTGGCAAAGGCAGGATAATTTGAGTTGTTTTGCCCTGCTTCATTGAAAAACAAGATGACTCAAATTACTTTGAGCTTGCTTCAGGCGAGGCTCGCACACTTGGACAGCTATAATGGATCAACTGACGTGTAGCAGGAGATTGGTGGGGCTGAGCCCAGTGCTGAAACAGAGCAAACGTCCTTTTTTTTCCCCCCTGGCATTTAACTTGAGCCTTTGTGAGCTACGACATGTGAGTGAACAGATGAGTGAAAAACAACAACTAAAAAGCTCCTATATCTTGCAATCTTCTCTGAGAGCAATGGTAGCCATAGAATAACTTGAATCCAGAGATGAAGATCTGGACAGAGTTATGCAGTTATCTCTGCTCCTAACAACTCCAGGCTTGTCAGCTTTGCTTATTCTCCTCTTTTTCCTTTGTCATCTTGTCCTTTCCTTACCTGTTCCTGTCCAGTCTACTTCAACTATAATTCCCTCCTTTAGCAGCCTTAGTGACCTTTTCAGAACAGGGAAGTCTTCAAGGTATGTCCATCAATGGTGCCTGCAACACCTGCACACTTTACATTTGTACACTGAATTATGATGGTATGTATCTTTTCCATCTGCACTAAGCAAAACTAGAATTAATATTATCTCATGTGGTAGCCATGCTCTGACATTAGTCCCTCTGGTTACCCTCTCTCACTTTTCCATAAATTTATCTGATAGTGCTCAAATTAACCCCAAATTTCAATTTATTTTTCACATACATGTTGAGGCACATTTAATCATTAAAATTCAAATATTACTGTAAACTCATTTAACACAACCAGATTGTCCATCATTAAAACACATACCTATTTCCAGTGAAGTCTTACTGGTTATCACAAGAAGACTTCCACAAATGAAACTGTTAAGAAAAGAATTAAAACCATCTCCTAGTCATCATCTGATTATCCCACACTACCTTGTATGTTCCTTGGTACCTACTGGAACAGTATGTGTTCCATAGCACATTCTGAACGTGACTGCAGCATAATCTGTATCACTTCCCAAACTACTCCTAATTAATTGAGAATAGATGAGACTATTAATTGCTCCTATTTATTACAAGTACTGTAGAGAAGTCCTATCATGTCAGACCATGCAGGAAGCTGTCAATGCCATTAGAAATTCTCCTTGAAAACTGATACTGCAGAATGTGTCAGTAGCTTCTGATGATGTCAGATGAGAAACTGCAGCAAAAGCCAAGAGCAGAGTAGTGCTCCCTGGAGACGCCAGCTTTGGCAAGATGTACTGAAATGCTGCAAGAATGTTTCTGAAATTGAGATTACTGAAACGTAATATCTCTTTTTGAAAACTTTACTGCACACAATTCATCAAGCCAAAGCTACAGTTCCAGGAAGAAAGGACCATCTGTTTTTCTTTGGACTTCTTTTTTTAAAGCTCACCTTTAATCAATTTTAAGATTCTTTTCATACACTGGAATGCAAAGAATGAATAACTTGAGAACTAGATAAATGACTCAATGTTTCTCCTTGAAATAGTGAATCCTCTAATTTTAATTATAATTAACTAGAAAATAACAGCCCACTTGTAATACAGACTCATTAAATCTGATACCTTTACACTTTTAACCTACAAAGGGGGCCACAAGAACTCTGGATCTATTTCCATTCCCAGCTTTGCCTTTCACCTATCATATATGCCACTGGAAAGAGAATAATCTCTCACAGACCTATTTTTACACCCAAATGGGAAATCACTTAGGACAATAAGAGTGTTATGCTGAATACAACAAGGCTTCCAGAAACATGGATACGGACAGTTTGCATTACAAATCTTATCTTAAACATAATTTTAAATTTAATGCTTGTTAGAAAAAAAAGAAAAGCCTTTGAAAGATCACAAAAACTTGCACAGGAAGAAATATGGTATAGTCAGTCAAATACTTCTGAAACTCAGAGCATGATTACCAATAAGATTTGTTAGAAGTTGCATTTAGCCAGTGTATCAAACTTTCCTAACCCTATACATCTGACTATGTACAATTAATCCATATAAATATATGAAAAGATAAATCTGAAAGACATGATGAAAATAGCTCATTGAATTATCACAAATATTATATCTTAAACGATCAATGTCTAAAGTATCAATTACAGATGCAGTGCACTGAAATTGTCTGGTTGATTTCCAAGTGATCTTCTGGCTTTTACAAGCTCATAAAAGAAAACATTTAGTTAAAAACCACAGGACACAACTTAAAAACAAGCCAAAAACCTGAATAAACACTTACTAAGGGTCTATCATATAACACAGCATGGCTGAGAGCAGTAAGTGGGAGAAATTCTGCTGTCACTGATGAGATTTAGAGTTCTCCTCTTTAGACACCATTCTCTGCAGTGATCCTGCCCCAACAAACCTCATACATATTCATCTTTTTCCGTCAGTCTTCATTTAATCCAAGAGTCTCACCTTCCAACAACCCCCTAATTACACAGATACACTGAATATTTTTGCAAGAAAATGCCACCCAAAACAGCCAGACTGAACACAGAGGCATGCATTTTTAAGGCCTCTGTTTTAGATACACTAAGATAAAACAGAAGCTTATCTTTGAGAATTTCAGGACATCAAATCACGGCTGGAAATAACAGGAACAAATGTCTGCATGTGTCACCTCTACATCACAAAGTGGAGGATGAGCCCAGAATTGTGGTAGTGGCTTAAGCTGCTATATCAGAACAAAGATGGTCTGCTAATATTGACCTGACATGGCTCTATCTGCCTGAGCCCACTGATCAAATCTATTAGATATGCTCAGTTTATGCAGAAAACTGAGAACTGAATTAAAAAAAAAAATTTAAAACCCAACAATCTCTAAATGACTCCTAACATCCTTTCAAGAACTACATTTTACCAAGCACAGCTTAGCATCCAAGCTCCTGGAGCTGACCTTCCAATTTTATTCGTGGCATTAATAAGCATACATACAAATGATTTTTTTTTTAAATAACAAGACATATGTTACTTTTAAAGACAGAAATCTATGAATCTTCATCAGGATAGTCTTGATTTCATCTTCCATCATTGCTATAAAAAGTTGCATAGGCAGCTTATTCCAAGATTTCAAAACATCTCTGCTGTACAATGAAGATACCTAATATGCATTTACTCATTTCCTCTCACTTTAAAATAGATTTTTCTTTTGTCAAGTAAAATTGACCTTAAATGTGGCTGTTAGGGAAATAAAAGCGCTTTACCCTGTGACTGCTGTTACTTAAAGAGCACTGAATGCAACAGTGAATGCAATCCAATGCAACAGTGGGAGAGTTCCTCAGGATGGAATCTTGCCAAAATTATCTGTTCAGATAAATGGCCTGACAAAAGGCAACCATAAATAAGGTTACTTTTTCGACATCATAAAGTTGACGCATATCCTGCCCAAGCTAGTTTTGTATAAAACAGCAAATAAATCTAAGAGATAAATAAAATGCAGAGATGCTTTTATTTCAGATAAGTCTGCCTATTTATTCAGAAACCATTTGTGCAACAATTTTTGGACTAGCTGAACAATTTCTCTGAATATGTGCAACTCAGATCTCTTTCCAGCCTACATCATTATAAATCCTGATGATTTAATATCCTGCACAGAATATTTTGCATAGCCAAGTTCAATTTAAAATTAGTTATTAAAATGAACCATTAACTTTACAATTGCCTACAGAGCTTTTTTTTTTTAATCTTCATAATAGTTTACATTGGATAATGAAGAAAGAAGCTTGATGAGAGCATTTGCGATGAGGGGTGAAATAGCACCCAAACCACAATGCTGAAAGAGACTTTGAAAACACCAAAAATCATTTTTATGATCCTGAAAAATGCTTTTGGTATGTTAAGCAGAAATATATTTACCTATAAGCAACAGCAGCACATGTAGTATCTTAAAAAAGAAATGCTTAGGAATGTAGCCCAGGTGTCCTCTGGAGATTTATGGTTTAATCATTCCACGTGCCACATGTTTTACACAAGTTTTTGGTTTTTTTTATACTGAAACAGAATTTAAACCTATGTCATTTAGCAGGTTATGAACTGTGCAGGACATAATTTAAACATACTTTCCTTTCAAATTAAAGGGTTTAGTGACATACCAAATCCTGGAATGCTTTTGAGACTGGATTTGAGACAGATTTTTTCAAGTCTGAGGTAGCTGTATCGCAGCAGGCAGTTCCACAGGAACATCCAGTCCATTCGTGTGCGATGGTTCATGATAATGACACTCCTTTCTCCAGGAACAAATCCATCGCCAGTGACAACCACCTTGGCACCACACACCATTTCCAGCAAGGCCTAGAAATAGTATCTCAGTATTATGGCTTTACTCCCAGAAGAAAAGCATCACCCCATTAGCAATAAAAATTAATTTTAATTATATAATTTCACTTATTCGCTCACATTACAACTGGTAAACAAATTTCTGTTTTCTAATAAAGCAGTCACCTTCTCTTCAGTAATAGCTGTTCAATGGAAGAGGAAACAACAATTAAGCAGCACTTTAAAAAGCACTCTGTTCCTATCACTACACTAACCTTTCCCTGGTTTTCCACGAATACTATAATGTAGGAATGTGAGTCAGTATGGATTATAACTTGGTAGGTAATCTAAGGAGAGATTGGCAGCACAACCATCTCTTGTCCCTAAGGTCAGGGTCACTGACAGCACACTGTCCAGCCAGCACAGAAAAAGAAACCAGCACAGAAAAAGAAACCAGCAAAATACCATAGGAAAAAGGCCTTCAAATTACCTCCTTACCCTTTCTTCCCCATTCTTTTTCCAAAAAAAAAACAAAACCCAAAACAGAACAAAAAACCATCAAAAAAACCCACCAAAAACCACAAAAGAACAAACACTGGGATTTAAACAGAGCTCTAGAAAGTAAAACAACTTATGTTCATATTTCTGCCAGCTCTGTGTGTGCCTAATATAAGCCAAACTAAACTGAAACAGTTAAGACCCACCTCACTGTCCCACCCTGCCAACTCCTGTAAAGGAAGTAAAATGTGATAGCAGAGTGAGGAAGGTGAAAATTTCTTACATCACAGAGGTCAAGGTCAGAGTTTCCCTGCTGGAGTCCAACTGGCACAAGAGCACTTTATTGTTCTGAGACACAAACCAAGAACCTGCTTCTCCTGACTAAGAATGCAGCGAGTGTAAGGATACAAACCTAAGGCAGACAAGGTCTGAGCCTTAAAGTAGTTGGATGCAAAATCTTTTTGAAACTCCTTTCCTGAACCTAAATCCCCAAGATTCTCAGAAGACAGAATCCTTTTCACAAGGATATTAAAATTATTTTGGTCTAGCTCTAGTGTGGACTAAAAATCAAACTTCTAGACTGAAAAAGTCGTCACAAACTAGTTTTAATAACCCAAAATTATAAAGCCCAGGCAATTAATCAAAGAAAAGACTGGTATTAGATTTTGGGGAGTTTGAAATGATAAAAAAAAATCTGAAGACAAACAGAGAAAGAGTTATTTGGTGACAGTATCAGTACCCAGTTAAATTTCATAATGACAAGAAATAACAATCTATTTCCTTTACTGTTGATTACATCGACCCTCCTAATTTCACTGCATTTAATAATGATAAAAAACTACAGAAGTTTTAGAGTAAGAAACAGCTGAAACCTTTAAAACCCACAAAGCAGAAGCAGCAAAAGCAAAAGCTACCTGATATACAGTAAGGATAGGACTTCCTTTATGCCACAAGACACATACCACTGCACACCAATTTGGCATTTTACTTCAGAAAAAGTTAAACAAATCTCTAATGGCCTACAGGAACAAATGGAAGAAGAGACAGATCCCATTCACATTGCCTTTCCTTTGGAATAATTCCGTCAAAAGCTTTCTTATGGATTGCCAGACTCATATAGCTGTAAAGTTGATGCACTGTGAGAAATACATCCTTTCTGGGGGGGCTCTTCTTTTTCACCTGAAAACATATGTAATTGAACTACAAGGGCTAAATTCTACAAGGGTTAAGTAACAGAATGGTGAAGGTTGACAACAATGTACCAGACAGTGGATAATTTTCCTAATACAATACTTGGAGCACAGTTCAAAGGAACAGTTTACAAGACAACTCATTTAGGAAGTTAACAGTTTTAAAAAAACTTCCTTCTGTTTATTAAAAGTTTCACCTACTTCTCTCTGCATCTGACTGACATTGGATGAAGATGTCAAAAAAAGACCTTTTCAAGCATAAAATGAACACACAACATTAGCTGATATATAAATTAAACTGTGAAAGAAGAGGGGGACTGTAAATAGGCACACAGCTTACAATTCTGAGCTAAACCCAAAGTCTCCAAAGATAGTAAGTGCGTAAGGGCCTGTTTAGACAGAAGCATAAAGAGCTTTAAAAACCCCAAAATAAAATCCAAAGTGTTAGTGAGCAAGCTAAATTGTGGGATTATGGAGAGTTGCTCAGACCTGGACTATGTGCCACTTACCACAGGGAGTGTGAGCCAAGTGGCCACAATGCAGTCGGTGATCCAGCGGTACCAGGCTGGCGAGATAAACATCACAGGCAGAAAAGGGCCCAGCATGAATATACTTCCAAAGAAACTTCCCAAGAATAGTGCAAGTGCAAAGTACATCCCCTTCCATGACACCATGGCTCTGAAAAACAGGGTTGGCATTAATTTAGAGAGACAAATGAAAGTAATTACATAATTCTTCAAGTCCGCAAGTCCGGTCTGAGGTAATATTCCTCCTTTTCTCTACAGCTAACAACACAGGACAACAGTAAACACAACCAGAATGCTCTTCTCCAGCAGCAGTAAGAGAAGGACTTTATAAACACAGTGATTTGTAAGGTGAATTGGGATATTAAAGGGGCCATAAAAGTATCAGCAACATCATAATTTCCTCCCATTACTACAATATGTAGTTCCACTCAAAACCTTCAGCAAGCTATTTTTATTATCCAAAGGTACAAAAGGGCCATTAAGAGAACACCAGTGACATTAAACTTTTTGGCCATTATCTTTGTCTGTGGCAAAATACTAATGTTACCATTTTCTAAAGACAGGAAACTTTGCTCTTCTATTTCTCCATCCCATTTCTTCTTGCTAAACACAGTGTTGCAGAAACACATCTTCCCCATCTAACAAGGCTCTGTGTGTGACCTCCCTCACAAACCACTCAAACCTGGCAAGACTGACCAGCCCTTACAAACACCAGTTCCCTTTTCATCCCAACAAGGCAGGCAAGCAGTGGCTGAACCCTCCCAACCCACCCTGGCTTAGAGAATTCATCACTTTTTTGAAGTCTGCTGTACTTCAACTGCCCTTATCAGTTATTTCCAACTTGCTGCACCAAAAAGCCAATAGCCTGTGGTTTTTAAGGCATAGTCTAGACTTGAAATATTTCAGTGTCTGTGCTATCAGCTACACTGTCTTGTTATAAATTGAAATGTACAGTACACTGAGCTTCTTAGTGCATTATGGCAGAACACTCAGCAATCCTCCAAGCATTTGTAATAGCTACAAGCTTTCACAATGTAGCAACTACTACCAGCTATGACAAAGCAAATGTAGAAATATCCATTCTCTAAATTAGTGCCTAAAAATAGTCTGTTTGCATCTATTTAGGACTCAGCCAATTGTTTATAAAACCAAAGGTTAAGCAGAAGTCACTTTTTAGTCACTGAATTCCTTTTTTTGACAGACTATTTTAGAAATTTTAAGAGCTCAGATAGACGGGACTTCAGGACAAGAAAAAACAGGAAGCTGGTGGGTTTAATTTTAAAATGAGCAATGGAAAAGCAATCCATTAAGCCTTGTGTATTGTAACATACATGATTTATCTCAAGCATGTTTTGTACAATGTCCTTAGCAATGATGTTTGCACAGCAAAGTATTTGACAGTCAAGAAATGGCAACACTAGGGCTGCTAGAAGATTAAATTTGCTTCTGCTACTTCATCTTGACAAGTAACAAGAAAGTAGCTCTACTCTTGAGATATTTCTAGGTTTAAACAATTTCCTAAACTGTATGGTATTTGGAGAAAGGCTGAGACAAGAGGCCATGCAAATTTTTAACGCAGGAAGGATATAGGAAGTTGTATTTAACTTTGCTTCTGCAGCACAGTAAAACAAGCAACACTAAATTCAAATGTTTGCTGATCATGATATTCGAAAGATTTTGACAATGAAATTTGAATTCAAACAAATACATAATATTTATATCCTGGAGTACAGAGCTCTCTCTTTTCTGCCAAAAGCAGGAACTAAACAACCACGTATGCACATATGCACAAAGTAGGATCAATTCTGATACATTAAGGGATCCTTGAAGAGTAATGCCCTGGAAGAAATTTTCTTCTTGCAAGGACTTTTTCTATTTGTTATAGCAAACCTCTGCGGGGGAAGTCCACGTTAAAGGCAAAAGAGGACAAAAAAACCTCAAAACAAAAAAACCCAGAAAAAAATAGGAACCAAAAGAAAGGGGGGTTGGGGGAGAATTATTAGTTGCAGCCCGACCAGAAGAAAAAGCCTTTTCTTAACATCAAGATTTGAGACCTACTGCAAAAGGTGGCAGACAGAATTAAAATTCTATCCGCTTGATCTGAACAGGCATTTTTGAGGAACAAATGTATCCAAACAACTGGAAACAGCTTTAAGACAGGTAAAACCTGCTCCCAGACGCAGAACAGGAGTTTGTTAGGCTTTAGCCAGCTGCTCTGGTCCTCTGTGAGGCTCTCAGAGCCATCAGTCAGATGCAGTGACATTTGCCAGGCAGACACTGCAGCTCCAAAAGGCTGCCAGACAACAGGGACAGGGGACACGCTCCAGTTCCAAACACCTGACTGCTGCACACAAGTACCTCCAGAGCTAACATGAGCAGACAGTGCTCTGTCATCCTTCTGAACTCTTCAAAAAGCAATGTGGGTCATTTATTAGGGGCTGTCCTTTTCACAGTTTACACTGAGGTCCTCCCCTCAAATTGTTAAACACAACCAAAGACTTAAGGAAAAAAAAATCTTGTTGCATTTTCTGTGAAAGACTGTCTCATAAATACTTTTTGTTTGTTTGTTTTAGATGAAAGTATCTGAGCTATGGAAAAGACCTGAGGAAGTTCTGAATTTCCTCTTCTTCAACCAGAACGAAGCAGTACTTTCTTTTACATCCAGTGTATACATTGTAAGTTACAGTGCATTCCAGTGGGTTAAACACTGTGCTGTTTATTTCTAGACACAAACAATACCATGTGTGTTTTCAATCGATGCCATTTATCACTCTTAAAGCCACGTTTTTAGTGTGATAAATACCACATTTTGCTTATTGCTTCTATATGACACATTATGTATCTTTAAACATGTATTTATCTAGAGTAAGGAATAGACTTGGACTTTGTTTCTGAATTGCCCCCACTGCAATGAAGGAGAGAAAGGGAGAAAGTTTCAGCAGATCCAACTGGAAGTGCAGTGCACAAGTTTGTAAGGGTTGAGGATGTAGGGCTGGCACACAGCTGGGCCAGGCTAGGCTCTGCAAACCCAGGCTGTTGTACCCAGCTTACCATTCCACACACTAACCACCAACGACAGGAGGGAAGTGACTACTTTCATCCTTTTGCACTCCTCAGCCCTTAAATACCTACCTTAGAAACAAACTGTCTCTAAGACACGTCAGCCATCCCAAATCTAACACCTGCATTCAACAAGTAACAGCTACAAATCAATGCAAAAATACATGCCTGCAACTTCAAAACATGATTAAAAGCCAGCCAAAGAAAGGAATATTTAATAAGGACTTGGAAAATGATCTAAAACAAATGTGAAAAATCTCAAAACAAAGAAAATGGGAGCTGACTCATGTCAGAGATTAGACACCCAAGGAATGAATTACAGGATTCAACAGGAAGCCTGAACAGGACTCAAGCATTTTCAAAGTACAGAAGTATTCTCTTACTGCTGCTGACAACTCTCTTTCTAATGCAGCAACCTCCCTCAACACTGAATTTAATGTGTAGGATGATCTTTATGTATCTTAAAGCCACTTTCCATTAGCTGTGTGGATCAGAGCTGTGGGAAGACAGTCAAAATTATTTTACAATTCAGACTGAAAGCTGCCAACAGTGATAAAGACAGCACCCTCATACGGGGCTTGTAGTTCTTCATCTATATCGTGGCAGAACTCCAAGTTATTGGGGTACTGTACTTCACATATTCTTGTTGCCATAGCAGAAGGAAAACATGCTCTGTCTCCAGGTAACTGGAAACAATAATTCTTCAAATACAATTTTTGCTTTCTATTTCAGTTAATTTGAAAAACTCTTGGCTACAACGGGAGAAAATATTTTCTCAAATATGTTTTGCAAACTTCATTTTTATTAGAATATTTACATGAAATTATTTCGATAATCTATGCAAACAAAATGTTTGCATAGTAACATAAAGCAAAGACACCTTCCTGTGATTGGATTTTGGCTTGTTTTTTTTAACATCTAAATGCTTTTATTGAAGGTACAGCTGAGATCACAGACAAACAACAGCTCGTTGTGATGATGATTTCAACAGGTTTTAAACAGACTGTTCTCTACAACAAAACTTTTTTTCACAACTGCTTCTGTGGCTTGAAAGAGGACAAAGGATGCAAAATAAGTTTACCTGATAAGAAACAAAAAAGTTCCAAACTTTAAGGTCTGGAAGTCTCAGCATAGTCAAGACTCACCACACGATTCAAATTTCCTTAACAGCTCCCAGCTAATTCAAAGTGCTTGTACAAACAGGTTAATTCATCTTCCAGGCTCAATGGAAAAAAAGATTTTAGCCTCAGCATAGCATTGAGCAATATTACCTGACAAAGAGAGCCAGCTGCCTGATAACAAGAGAAATTTTCAAGCACTTAGTACTACAAAGTGAGCAAATCAGGTTTTATTACACTATTGAAAAAATAAAGAAACGCTCTTCAGTGCCAATAAAAACAGTGGCCTACTGGTCAGCACATTTCCATTCAATCAGCATGGGCAATAAAACTGCTCATTAGTCTTCAAACCTGAATGGGAAATAGTAAGGAACTGGATTTAAGGTTCTTCCAGTCAATTACCAGTAGAAAAGGTAAACATCTTCAACTAAAATCAAGCAGAAACTCACACAGACAGCCAGTGATGCCTCTTCTCTAACAGTTCTGCAAAGAAAGTCAGCATTTAACTCCAAACTGACTTAACTTCTCCATTTCCTCCACGCAGGGCAAGTGAAACAGGTGAACTGTAAATTCCAGCTCCCGTTTTCAATTTTGCATTCAGAAACATAATTTCCAAATCAGAAGATACCATTTCACAACAATTTTTGAAACCTTTGATCTGGGTGCTGTGAATTGAAGTTCCAGGAGGTGGGCAAGAGAAAAATAAAGTCTGCAAACTACTTAGGTGTCCATTAAATGAACCAGCAAATGAATGACCCAAATTTTCACTTGTTTATTTTTTTTTAGGTTACTAAACAAAATCATCTAGACAAGAGAGCAGGCAGATTGACAGCCCTTCCTAGTTTTAGTGATGCAAATGAGAGGTGTGAGCAGGTGCTGAACATCAGCCAAGCAAAGTTTCAGTGGAAATGACACATCCTAGCAGAACCTTTCAAGTCCAACAAAATCACCATGCTTTTCTATTTGAGCATTT